TCGTCGCAATAACAAACGGCCGTCCGTTCGTCCGACCATGTGAAGTGACATTCAGCATATTGGTTGTGCGTTGTTTATTCTACACCGTGTAACTGGGCTCTAATTGTAAGCGGGCCTATGAAAATGAAGTGTTAATTGGTTATGGGCTATGGCTATTAAACAAAAATTCGAAAAAAAAAATTAAAAAAAAACAAAATTCTGAAATAAGAAGAGTTCGTTCATTTGTTTGGTGTTGTTATTGGTATTTTAATTAAGCAACAAATAAAGCTACTTGTTTTAAAGAATTTAAGTGAATGTAAACCATAATATGTGACTTGTTAAGTGGTTAGAGAGGTATTGGAGGTTAATGCACCACGAAAGTAGGACAGATTTTCAATAATTTTCGAAAAAATAATCACAAATTTTAATTTTTTTACATATTTTTATACATTTTTTACATGCATGTGACATTTACGACATTTTGTATTTTACTATTGTGGCCAGAATAAAATCATTTTATATGATTTCCTATACAGAAAATATTAAAATTTTATATTTAAAATGTTTTTACAGGTTTACAACATTTACGACATATGCAAGATTTTGTCAAAAATTCCTGTGAAAACTTCTTGATTAATTTTTCATAAAAATTTCAAAATGTTGCATTTTTACAAAGTTTTATAAATTTTTTACATATTTACGACATTAGGTATTTTACTGTTGTAAGCATAAAATAATGATTTTATGTGATTTCCTATAAGGAAAATATAAAAATTTCACAATTAAGAGTTTTTTAAAGGTTTACGACATACGCAAAATGTTGTCAAAAATTTGTTGGGAAACTTCTTTGTTAATTTTTCTGCAAAAAATTTCAAAATTTTGATTTTTACAAGGTTTTATACATGTTTTACATGTTTGTGACATTTACGACATTAGGTATTTTACAGTTGTAAGCATAAAATTAGCATTTTATGTGATTTCCCATAGAGAAAATATTAAAATTTTACAATTTATACCTTTTTTACAGGTTTATGACATTTACGACATACGCAAAATGTTGTCCAAAATTCCTGGGAAACATCTTTGTTAACTTTTCTACAAACATTTTCAAATTTTTGCGTTTTTACAAAGTTTTGTACATTTTTTACATGTTTGCGACATTTACGACATTAGCCATTTTACAGTTGAAAGCATAAATTTATCATTTTATAATATTTATGATAGAGAAAACGTTAAAATTTTACAAATTGGACGTTTTTTACAGGTTTACGACATTTACGACATACGCAAAAATTTGTCAAAAATTCCAAAATCATTTTTTAAAAATATATAATGCAAAAATATTTAATATTTTTAATTTTTAATGTTTTTATAGATTTTTTATAAGTTTCTGACATTCGCGAAATTTTGTTAAAAACCCAAAAATAATACATTAGAAAAAGTTGTTGACAAATAAAACAATAAATTTTAAATTCATACATTTTTACAGGTTTACGACATACGCAAATTTTTTTTACAGGTTTACAGGTTTACGACATACGCAAAATTTTTCTCAAAAATCTCAAAATTTGCCTAAAATACAAATTTCTGGGAAAGTAGAGTAGTATATTGAATCTTTATTAGATTTTATACATATTATACAGGTTTTTGACATTTACGACATTTGGGAAATTATGTCAAAACTCTAAAATAATTTTCTTATATTCTTTTAGGGACAAAGTAATTTATATTTTTGATGTTTTTACAGCTTTTATACCCTTTATACAGGTTTTTGACTTTTACGACATTTGGAAAATTATGTCAAAAATCTAAAATGATTTTCGTATATTCTTTTATGGTCATTAACATTTCGTATTTTTTATTTGTAACAGATTTTATGCATTTTTTACACGTTTTTGACATTTACGACATGCGCAAAATTTTGTCAAAAATCTCAAAATATACCTAAATTAAATATTTCTAGAGAAGAAAAAAATAATTTCCAATTTTTAATGGTTTTTATACATATTACACATGTTTTTGACATTTACGACATTCTGGAAAATTATGTTAAAAATCGAAAATATTGTTTGTTTAAACATATGCTGAGAAAGGTATTACAAATTTTTAATTTTTACAACTTTCATGTGTTTTATACACGTATTTGACATTTACGACATTTGCAACATATTGTCAAAACCTATATTTATATCTGTATTAAACATTTTTCAATATATCGAATAATAATTTGAATTTTATACCACATTTCATACGTTTTATAAAGGTTTCTGGCATTTACAACATTTGCAAGATTCTGTCGTAAACTCTAAATAATCGTTTTATGTATTAATCTCAACGAATGAAATAATTTTATCAATTTATTATGTTTCAGTAATTTTTTACAAGTTTTTGACATTTACGACATTTTGTCAAAAACCCCCAAAAAATATGAATGTGAATATTTTTTAGTGTTAGCAACACAATTTTGTAGCATTTAGTAGTTTTTATACATTTTATACAAGGTTTATGACATTTACGACATTGGTAAATTTTTGTCAAAAATCCATGAATATGTCTATACTGAATATTTTTTGTGTAGAAACACAATATTTTGTAACAATTACTACTTTTGATCATTTTTTACAGGTTTGCGACATTTACGACATTTGCAATTTGTTGGTAAAAAAACCAACAAAAATCTACACTAAACCTTTTTCAATGATAAAAAAGTAAAATTTTTAGTTTTTATTAATTTTTAAAAGTTTTATACAGGTTTTATACATGTTTATGACATTTACCACATTTACAAATTTATGTCAAAAACCTAAAAAAATGTTATATTGTGAATTTTTAATAAAAAATAAGCTTCATAAAAATCATTAGTGTTAAAATTCATGTTAATTTTGTTGATTACGACATTTTATACATGTTTGTGACATTTACGACAATTGTAATTTTTGAAATTTTGACTAATATAGACCAAATTATTTGATTTCCAATGCAATTAGATCTATTTTTTCATTATTAATAGGTTTTTGACATTTTATACAAGTTTGTGACATTTACGACATGTAAATTGTTTTCCCCAAGAATTAACTTCACAAAAATTATTTCACTTAAAATACATCAACATTTTGTCGATTTCGAGGTTTTATACATGTTTGTGACATTTACGACAATTGTAATTTTTATGTCGTAAAGTGAAATTTTGACTAATATAGACCATTTGCCAATGATTTTTCATTTTCAATGCAGTTACACCTTATTTTTCCATTATTATTAGGTTTTTGACATTTTATACAAGTTTGTGACATTTACGACATATTAATTTTTTACGCCAAAAATTAAGAATTATCTTTACAAAAATTGTTTTTGTTAAAATTCATGATAATTTTGTCGATTTCGAGGTTTTATACATGTTTGTGACATTTACGACAATTTTAATTTTTTATGTCGTAAACTATAATTATGACTAATAAAAACCATTTGACAATGATTTCCAATGAAATTTGATCATATTTTCCATTATTAATACGTTTTTGACATATTATACAAGTTTCTGTCATTTACGACATTAAAATTGTTTACGCAAAAAAATAAGATTTGACTTCCCAAAAATTATTTTAGTTAAAATATTTCAAAATTTTGTCGATTTCGACATTTTATACATGTTTGTGACATATACGACAATTGTAATTTGTATGGTGTAAACTAAAATTTCGATTAATATAGACCATTTACCAATGATTTTTGATTTCCAATGCAATTAGATCTTATTTTTCCATTATTAATAGGTTTTTGACATTTTATACAAGTTTGTGACATTTACGACATTTCAATTTTTACGCCAAAAATTAAGAATTAACTTTAGAAAAATTATTTTAGTTAGAATACATAAATTTTTTGTCGATTTCAAGGTTTTATACATGTTTGTGACATTTACGACAATTGTAATTTTTATGTCGTAAACTGAAATTTTGATTAATATAGACCATTTGACAATGATTTCCAATGAAATTTGATGTTAATTTCCATTATTAATAGGTTTTTGACATTTTCTACAAGTTTGTGACATTTAAGACATTTCAAATTTTTACGCCAAAAATTAAGAATTAACTTCACAAAAATCATTTGAGTCAGAATACATCAAAATTTTGTCGATTTCGAGGTTTTATACATGTTTGTGACATTTACGACAATTGTAATTTTTATGTCGTAAACTGTACTAATGGCAAATAGTCACCATTTCCTTTAATATCCAATGAAATCTGACATATTTTTTTCAGTCTTAATATGTTTTTGACGTTTTATACATGTTTGTGACATTTACGACATTTTAATTTTTTACGCCAAACATTAAGAATTATCTTCACAAAAATTATTTTAGTTAGAATACATCAAAATTTTGTCGATTTCTAGGTTTTATACATGTTTGTGACATTTACGACAATTGTCATTTTTATGTCGTAAACTGTACTAATGGCCAATATACACCATATACATATTTTTTCAGTTTTATAAGATTTTGACATTTTATACAAATTTGTGACGTTTACGACATTTTCAATTTTTATGCAAAAAAATCAGAAAAAGGTACAAAAATCCACGCCTGGAAGTATGCAATGAAAAATAATAAATTTTTAATGTTTGTTTTGGTTTGAAAAAGTTTTCCTTTGCATGTCTGGTCCTGCAAAATAAAACTTCGTAGACAAAATATGTGGGAGCCTATGTTCGCATTTGGTTCACGTGCAGGCAGGCTAAAGTCATTCGCAGTGTGGAAATATATTTTTTTCGGATATAACCTCCAAATAAATAGACCACCTCCTTTCGTATCCGCAATTGTAATTAATACCTGTCATCAAATATTGTCCTGCAAAAATAAATAAAACGCCCCGAAAATTAGAATGTTCGCAAATTATAGTCTGGCGGTGACACTTTACACCTTGAGAGATGATAATCGGGACCCGTAAGACTCACATAAGTCATATTCATTCTTACGTCCGTTGAAAAAGGTTGCCTAACTCTCTCTCTCTCCTGCCGTAATGCAGAATAACGAGGCTCGCCAAGATTTAGAATTTTTAGATGTGCAATATAGGGCTCTAATTCGTGTCGGTTTAGATATCGGAGCCATTAAGGGCAAAGATTTCCTCAACAATCGTGGAAAATTCCTCATCTATGGCAGCATCACCACCTATCTGCAATATGGTCTAATTTTATATGCGGTCCATATTTTCGGTGTCGAAATCGATAAGGCCAGTGCTGCCCTTTCGATGTTCAATCAAGGTTCCTTGCTAATGTTGAAGGTATCAATATTGATATTCAAATCGAATCGTTTATTGAAATTAATTTGGGATATGAATTTGTTGGCCACCAGGGGTAAGTTCCAGTTCCATTTTGGAAACCCGGAGATATTAATACGAATCGATTTTTTTCTGTTTCAGCCAATGAAGAGGAGCGAGAAACCTGGCTTTCGCAAAATCGTTTTTCCAAAGTCATCGGAAATATCTACTCGACGGCATGTGTGGCCTCGGTGATACTCTCCATTTCGATACCGATAATTTTTATGAGCTATGAAAATCTGAAGGGGATGGAGGTCACATTGAAATTGCCATTTGATGGGGAGTAAGTGCGGATTTTTAAAGCCGTGGATTTTTCAAAACAATATTTTTCAAGGCATACCTCAAGGCGTGGATTTTTCAAAACAATATTTTTCAAGGCATACCTCAAGGCGTGGATTTTTTAAACAATATTTTTCAAGGCATACCTCAAGGCGTGGATTTTTTAAACAATATTTTTCAAGGCATACCTCAAGGCGTGGATTTTTTAAACAATATTTTTCAAGGCATACCTCAAGGCGTGGATTTTTTAAACAATATTTTTCAAGGCATACCTCAAGGCGTGGATTTTTTAAACAATATTTTTCAAGGCATACCTCAAGGCGTGGATTTTTTAAACAATATTTTTCAAGGCATACCTCAAGGCGTGGATTTTTTAAACAATATTTTTCAAGGCATACCTTAAGGCGTGGATTTGTTAAACAATATTTTTCAAGGCATACCTTAAGGCGTGGATTTGTTAAACAATATTTTTCAAGTCATACATCGAGGCGTGGATTTTTTAAACAATATTTTTCAAGGCATACCTCAAGGCGTGGATTTTTTAAACAATATTTTTCAAGGCATACCTCAAGGCGTGGATTTTTTAAACAATATTTTTCAAGGCATACCTCAAGGCGTGGATTTTTTTAGACAATATTTTTCAAGGCATACCTCAAGGCGTGGATTTTTTTAGACAATATTTTTCAAGGCATACCTCAAAGCGTGGATATTTTTTAGACAATATTTTTCAAGGCATACCTCAAGGCGTGGATTTTTAAGGTATGGATAAGGCGTGGATTTTTAAGGGTCTACCATAAGGCGTGTATTTTTAAGGGTCTACCATAAGGCGTGGATTTTTAAGGGTCTACCATAAGGCGTGGATTTTTAAGGGTCTACCATAAGGCGTGGATTTTTAAGGGTCTACCATAAGGCGTGGATTTTTAAGGGTCTACCATAAGGCGTGGATTTTTAAGGGTCTACCATAAGGCGTGAATCTTAAAAAATATTCTTTTATTATTTCAGATTCCCCTATGAACATTTGGGCATACCGATATTCATCCTCAACTACATACTCTCCGTGATCTATGTCTATACCCTGCTGTGTTGGACCATTGGCATAGATACCCTCTTCGGCTGGCTTATACATGCTGTATCGGGACATTTTCGAATACTACGCATCAAGGTAGAAAGGGCAGCCCGGAAAATCGATGAGGATAGCAATCATGAAGATTTCGTCGCTGATGTCGGAGCCATTGTTCGTTATCACAATAAAACCCTGGCCTTCGTTGATGCCCTGAATGATATTTTTGGTCAAATATTTTGGGCCGAGGTGGCCTTCAGTTGCCTGCAAATGTGTTTCTTGATATTCACCCTCAACAATGGTTCCGACAAACGGATGATACCCTTTAATGCCATGGTTTTCACCGCCATCAGTATTCAAATGATGATCTACTGTTTTGGTGGAGAGAAAATTAAAACGGAGGTAGGTGGGAGGGAGGGCGAATTTATGTTCTCTGAAAGTTCGGAAATTTGATTTTTTGTTTTCTATTTTTTTTCTCCTGATTTCTAGAATGAAATGCTTTGTTCGGATATTTATTCGAAATTCCCATGGGAGAAAATGCGACCATCCGAAAAGAAAATGATGATATTCCCCTTGCAGAGATCTCAGCAGGATGCTGCCTTGAGGGGGCTATTTTTTGAATTGGATCGTAATCTATTGGTTTATGTGAGTCCTTGGTGTTGGGGGGTTTAATTGCAGATTCCGTATTAGATGCATTTATAATTGTTGTCTCTTTCAGATATATCGCACCGCCTTTTCGTACAATACACTGTTGGGCGCCATGAAGGAATAAATCGGAATGGAAGAGAAATTGGACTCCTTGGGAGTAATTTTTTTTTTAAATTCACATTTTTTCACAATCGTTTGCTAATAGAGCTCACAGTCCGTAGTAATTTGCACCGATTAGTTCCGCACTTAGTAAATGTGGAATATGAACAATAAAAATAGTAAAACAAATATTTAAGGGTCTTAAGGCGTGGATTTTTTAAAAAATTATTTTTGAGAGTCTACATAAGGCGTGGATTTTTTAAAAATTATTTTTGAGGGTGTAGCATATGGCGTGGATTTTTTAAAAATTATTTATAAGGCCTGGATTTTTTAAAAATTATTTTTGAGGATCTACATAAGGCGTGGATTTTTTTAAAAATTCTTTTTGAGGTCCTAACACAAGGCGTGGATTTTTTGAAAATTATTTTCGAGGTCCTAACACAAGTAGCGGATTTTTTAAATAATAATTTTCTTTAAAAATTCATTTTTTATTTTCTTGTCCTCCAAAGCATTGATTTGGCGATTATACAAAAATGCGGAAGCATTTTTGTATATTCTGACTACAACAACACCAACAACAACGCAAAAAATTGCATCTGCTTCTAACCACCTAAACCGAACGGACCACAAAACAATGCGAGAAGTTTGCCATTAGCCAAAAACAAAACAGGCAGAATCTCTGCTAACAATCAGGAATTGCAATGGGTGTCAGGCCATCAACAGAACAAATCTGATCATTTACCGCCTACCTACCTACCTCTCCTGGCTGTGAAGATGGCCAGGAAGAACCGAAACAAAACATGTAGGAAACCAGTCTGCCATTAGATGTTACATAATCATTGGGTAGGATGGATGATCATCGCTCACATGGTACACACACTTACACATACTTCTTGAAATACAGGAGAACCGGGTTAAAAAATCCACGCCTTGTTGAGAACTCTTAAAAATATTTTTTAAAAAAATCCACGCCTTGTTGAGAACTCTTAAAAATATTTTTTAAAAAATCCACGCCTTGTTGGAGACCCTTAAAAATATTTTTTAAAAAATCCACGCCTTGTTGGAGGTTCTTAAAAATATTTTTTAAAAAATCCACGCCTTGTTGAGAACTCTTAAAAATATTTTTTAAAAAAATCCACGCCTTGTTGAGAACTCTTAAAAATATTTTTTAAAAAAATCCACGCCTTGTTGAGAACTCTTAAAAATATTTTTTAAAAAAATCCACGCCTTGTTGAGAACTCTTAAAAATATTTTTTAAAAAAATCCACGCCTTGTTGAGAACTCTTAAAAATATTTTTTAAAAAAATCCACGCCTCGTTGAGAACTCTTAAAAATATTTTTTAAAAAAATCCACGCCTTGTTGAGAACTCTTAAAAATATTTTTTAAAAAAATCCACGCCTCGTTGAGAACTCTTAAAAATATTTTTTAAAAAAATCCACGCCTTGTTAAGAACTCTTAAAAATATTTTTTAAAAAAATCCACGCCTTGTTGAGAACTCTTAAAAATATTTTTTAAAAAAATCCACGCCTTGTTGAGAACTCTTAAAAATATTTTTTAAAAAAATCCACGCCTTGTTGAGAACTCTTAAAAATATTTTTTAAAAAAATCCACGCCATGTTGAGAACTCTTAAAAATATTTTTTAAAAAATCCACGCCTTGTTGAGAACCCTTAAAAGTATTTTTTTTTAAAAATCCACGCCTTGTTGAGAACCCTTAAAAATATTTTTTTAAAAAATCCACGCCTTGTTGAGAACCCTTAAAAATATTTTTTAAAAAAATCCACGCCTTGTTGAGAACTCTTAAAAATATTTTTTAAAAAAATCCACGCCTTGTTGAGAACTCTTAAAAATATTTTTTAAAAAAATCCACGCCTTGTTGAGAACTCTTAAAAATATTTTTTAAAAAAATCCACGCCTTGTTGAGAACTCTTAAAAATATTTTTTAAAAAAATCCACGCCTTGTTGAGAACTCTTAAAAATATTTTTTAAAAAAATCCACGCCTTGTTGAGAACTCTTAAAAATATTTTTTAAAAAAATCCACGCCTTGTTGAGACCTCTTAAAAATATTTTTTAAAAAAATCCACGCCTTGTTGAGAACTCTTAAAAATATTTTTTAAAAAAATCCACGCCTTGTTGAGAACTCTTAAAAATATTTTTTAAAAAAATCCACGCCTTGTTGAGAACTCTTAAAAATATTTTTTTAAAAAATCCACGCCTTGTTGAGAACCCTTAAAAATATTTTTTTAAAAAATCCACGCCTTGTTGAGAACCCTTAAAAATATTTTTTTAAAAAATCCACGCCTTGTTGAGAACCCTTAAAAATATTTTTTTAAAAAATCCACGCCTTGTTGAGAACCCTTAAAAATATTTTTTTAAAAAATCCACGCCTTGTTGAGAACCCTTAAAAATATTTTTTTAAAAAATCCACGCCTTGTTGAGAACCCTTAAAAATATTTTTTTAAAAAATCCACGCCTTGTTGAGAACCCTTAAAAATATTTTTTTAAAAAATCCACGCCTTGTTGAGAACCCTTAAAAATATTTTTTTAAAAAATCCACGCCATGTTGAGAACCCTTAAAAATATTTTTTTAAAAAATCCACGCCTTGTTGAGAACCCTTAAAAATATTTTTTTAAAAAATCCACGCCTTGTTGAGAACCCTTAAAAATATTTTTTTAAAAAATCCACGCCTTGTTGAGAACCCTTAAAAATATTTTTTTAAAAAATCCACGCCTTGTTGAGAACCCTTAAAAATATTTTTTTAAAAAATCCCACGCCTTCTATAGGTCCCCGAAAAATAATGTTTCAAAAAATCCACGCCTTCTATAGGTCCCCGAAAAATAATGTTTAAAAAATCCACGCCTAGCTTGAGACCCTTCAAAACTATTTAAGAAAAAATCCAAAACCTTGAGGGCCCACTGTAGAATGCAAAAGATGAAGATATCCCGCAGGAACTGGTCTTGTTGACCAGCCATCGATCGCATTCAACCTACCAACCACCAGTAAGGTTGCCTTACAACTTCCATGTTGTGGCTTCATGGTTGAGTGCCGATCAAACAAGAACTTATTACATAACTGGTGACCGAACAAGAAGGTTCTAAGAACACAAATATCTTGAGCGACGGACTCAACATCGAACGGAACGAAATGTGTAAATTCCATAATCGTTTATTTGTGTTCGCTTTACTCACCCTGGGTTGGAGCTTCATTGTGGTTTGGTCCAAGCCGGTGCTAAGGCAAGACTCGGATGAAAATTCCAATTTAAATTTCAATGAAATAATGGCCTTGTCTGCCCTGCTGGCACCCCAAGATAACTATGATCTACACTATGATCAAAGGCAAAAGGGCTCCGAGAATTATCGTGTCAAATTGGATGGCTTCTTTATTGGCATACCACAGGAGGATAGTTCATCGCTGCTGCTGCTAACCGATGATATTTTAGAGAGTTTTGGTAAGGGAATCCGCAAAAAGCCTTAACCTTACAAAATTAAAAATGCTAATTTTTTTTCTCAGGTGAGGATATTCTTTCCAAACCGGATAAAAATAAAAATCGTAAAGTTTCCCCTGTGGAATTGGAAAGTTATCCGAAATCACAAAAATCGACCTCAGAAGTAGATCCTGTCTCAGCTGTGGTGGTGGAGATACCTTCTCCAGGTGGGAAATTTGGTCAGGCCCGCAACCGTGAAGATGATACCGAGGAGATACAAAACAAACCCAGCCCCAGCCGAACCAAGTCTTTTATATCTCATTTATTGGCTGTCATGAAGAGGGGACAGAGGAATTAAGAGGAGTTTAATTTATAATTTTTTATATATATAAGCGAACATATTTGGAGATCTAAGAGACTGAATTATCTTAAATATTAAAAAAACTAATTAAAAATAAATTTAATTTTTTTGGAGACATGAAAATATAAAAAAAAATTGAAAAATAATTTTTAAAAAATCCACGCCTTATAGTAGACCCTCAAAATAATTTTTAAAAAATCCACGCCTTATAGTAGAGCCTGAAAAAAATATTTTTAAAAAATCCACGCCTTATAGTAGAGCCTGAAATATATTTTTAAAAAATCCACGCCTTATAGTAGAGCCTGAAAAAATATTTTTAAAAAATCCACGCCTTATAGTAGACCCTCAAAATAATTTTTAAAAAATCCACGCCTTATAGTAGACCCTCAAAATAATTTTTAAAAAATCCACGCCTTATAGTAGACCCTCAAAATAATTTTTAAAAAATCCACGCCTTATAGTAGACCCTCAAAATAATTTTTAAAAAATCCACGCCTTATAGTAGACCCTCAAAATAATTTTTAAAAAATCCACGCCTTATAGTAGACCCTCAAAATAATTTTTAAAAAATCCACGCCTTATAGTAGACCCTCAAAATAATTTTTAAAAAATCCACGCCTTATAGTAGACCCTCAAAATAATTTTTAAAAAATCCACGCCTTATAGTAGACCCTCAAAATAATTTTTAAAAAATCCACGCCTTATAGTAGACCCTCAAAATAATTTTTA